GATACTCACTTGACCTCGCCTCTGTTTAGAATGTCACCATTATCTTCTGCTGATGAAAGTTCGGTTTCGATAACTTCTGGGTGCTTCTTCAAGTCGTTGATCAGATCACCTACGTTCAACATAAAGGCTCTATTTTTTGTCCCAGTTCACTGTTTAAGCAAGAAATAGATCACTAGATTTACGCAGGAGTTTTAAAAAAAAACATTTCAAATCGATAAATTAAGTGAGGCCATGAGGTACACATTTGTCGAGCTTTTTACCTCAACAATTTACGCCATATGGTCGGAAACGATTGAAATACTGACGTCAAGTGCCTCAGACATTTCCCTGACACGCCAATTTTACTCTAACCCATGCATTGTGTTCGTCTGGGCTAGCATTCTTTCCCGGATTGCCGCTGGCTGAAATCTGAGCAGCTTGTGCACCAAAGCGCTTCCGTCTACTGCCGTCCTCTGCCGTTTGGTATTCTACGGAACGCGATCTGAACAGTGGCCCCGGTCCATCGTCTACCTTATGGCTGCTGCGTGTTCTGCCCCAAAGAGTCGGCAGAGTTTGTGGTGACGCAACTTCCAAAAGGCAGCCGGCCTACGTATCGAATGCTTATGAACGTCCCTTTTATCCAAATCTTGCAAACAAAAATGCACACGGGACGAAAAGTGGTCAGTAGGTAAAAAATAAAAACTGTTTTAATCTGGATCAATCCGACGTCACTTCATACACAGGGCTTTCAGCCAATCGTTTTTTGGCCCTTTTACTGGGAGGAATGACGGAGGAGGAAGAGGATGACGAGGAGGGGGCAGGGGAAGGCGCATCCAAATCCTCGTCCGGTGGGGCCCCCAACACCCACGGAGGAATGGGCAGCTTCTGGGGCTCACTGCTGCGCTGGGTCGCTGAAAGATAGATGACCGTGGAATAAGGCGTGAAATGGTAATCCATGCGAAGATAGGACTGCAGCAAGCACCAGGCCACAAAGTACTCTGCAAAGCGAAGGCGAGTTGAACGTGAGACGACCGCGCCCGCTTTCTGCAACACCGCACCGACAATCTTCTCCTTGAC